GTTTCTACCTCTACCGCATCCTGTGCTTTCCCTGTAATGACGCTCACTGCACTTTATTATTGATTGTTAAAACTCCAAAAGAGCAGGAATCACTTGTACATTATTTATTGCTCTCTCCTCACCACAGAGCATGTGCCCGGTAAATGGAAATAAAAGTACTTAGAACAAAATACCTGACCGGAGTTCACTGGAACTGTCCAGTTCATCAAACACAAAGTCTGAGAAATGGCCAAAGCCTCAAGAAGACTAAGTAAGACAGGACGACTGGATGTGGAGTGGGTCCGGGGTGGAATCCTGGAGCAGAAAAGGAACGTGAGCTTAAAACGTAAGGAAATGTGTGCCAAGGATAGATGTTAGTTAATGATAACGTATCAATGCGGTTCATGAATTGTGACAAGTGTGTCATACTAATGTACGCTGCTCATCATAAAGGAAATTAAGTGTGAAATATAGGGGAATGCTTTGTACTGTATCCACCAATTTTCTATATATCTAAAACTCTTCCAAAATGAAAACTGTAGCAAACATTGTTATGAACAAGTACCTCTGTACCCTCCCTGTCTCGAGCTAGCGGCTTGTCTTTGGTCTGACTCTGTCCTCTTGCTGCTAGAGTCTCAATAAGGAAAGAACCTCTTTCCTTTCTAAGCCCATAGCTCATGAACACGTTCCTGATGGACAGTGAGAAGCCCAAGTTCTAGCCCCCAACTCTGCACCTTCCCACTATCTGGCCACGTGTTATCTGTTCCCCTTTTCCTCAGTTTACCCATCTAGTCAAACTAGGAGGCTCTTCAAGGTGCTCCATGAAGGCAGAGGTGGTTCCCAGCAGTATCCCTAGCTCTGAAAACAGTTCCAGGCATGCGCAGGCACTGAACAAAGGTGTGCTAAATGGATAAGCTATGCTATGGTTTGGATATAACTGGGTCCTACCCAAACTCACCTTGAGGCTTAATTACTCAATGTGAGAGCCTCCAGAGGTTGGGCCTTTGAGAGAAAATTAGGTCCTGGGGGCCTGCTTTCATGAGTACATTAATGCCTTCCCCAAGAGACTCAGAACTCTTTGGACTCAATTAGGGAGTTAA